CATTTCCAGAATTCTGTTTTTTGTGGGGGGTTTTTTTTGTTGTTTTTTTTTAAGAGACAGAGAGGAAGGGAGAAGAAGGGAGAGGGAGAGAGAAAATCGATAGTCTGCCTCCTGTATGTGCCCCGATTGGGGATCAAACACGCAACTTGGGTATGAGACCCAACCAGGAATTGAACCGGCAACCTTTTGGTGCACTGGACAGGGCTCAATCAACTGAGCCCACCGGCCAGGGCCAGATGGTTTTGATGCAGTGACTCCATGGAACTTGTTTTGGGAAAGATTGGTCTTTAGTAAAACATAAAAATTAAAATGACAAAATAAAACCACAGATGATGCATTTTCAAATGTGCAGATATGCATTTTAGGATTTGACCATTTTTTATTACGACAAGAGCAACTTAGTAGAGGGGTGGGGATGCAGACTTAACTGGAGTGAGTACAGAGAAAGTGGAAGGACAGGAATTAAGACTGTGCATACAGTCAATAAGTCCGAATTTTCTGTTAAGGAGCAGAGGAATAGCATGGTAACTGCACAGGCAACTGGTGGGCGGGGAGGGTGTCAGAGAGAGTTTTTAAGTGATGGCAGCAAATCCACTTAAGACTCTGAGCAGGAAAACCGAGCTCAGCAAAATGAATCTGTGTCGGAGACCTCTGGGACTTTGAGAACAGGTCCCCGTAAATATTTCTATGTCGTCATAAAAAACTGTTCCTAAAAACAGCTCAAGAAACTATTTTTACATGAAACATTTCATTCAAATAAGGGTTTCTATTACATTGGGATTACAGGATATATGTCTATGATTTCATACCATTGAGTCTTTGCTGGTACTTCTCAACTATCTTCAGAAGTTCAGTGCATGTCTCTTGAATGGAGTGAAAAACCTTGGAGACATACATTTTGTTAGGACAGTTTAGAGAACCATAAACAAACACAAAATAGCTGTTATAAGCACTTCAAAAGCGGAACATTTTCTTGTACGTGTTATGTCTATTTTCCTGGTCTGGGATGCACTTCAGTTTGGGTTTGTTTCTGATGTAGAAAGCACATTGAGATTTCCCTCATGATGTTTGGGGAAGAAATGGAGGTCAATACATGGGAGCTAACAGAATTTTCAAACTGTGGAGTTTGTCCTCCCCTCAGCTCCAAATTAAATAGCAAAATGACAAATCCAATGAAAATCGCATCCAGCATTGCAAACCACAGATCTCTGGCTCTTCTCCAATACTGGTCTAAGCAAGAGAGGTCAGTGAATTTACCATACAAATTAATAATGTATTATAACATTAAAAATAAATTACCTGTAAATTATTTTTGTTTAGAATTTTCTGTATAATGCCTTTATCACTACTGTTGCTAACAGCTCACAGAAAAGTTTACCTCCAGTTTAGCATCCAGTTCTGCGTCCGATGCCACCACGTGCTCATCCTCCTTTTTCCCGGTGGCTTTGATGAGGACCTGTTTAGTTTTCCAGTATTTCTTTTGCATCCTGCTGACTACTGACTGGTTATCTTCTGCTCTAGGTTGCCCAAAGGAATCCATGGAGTGACTACAAGGAACAAACTAAAAGTAAAGGTATTTATTTATTTAATTTATCTTTACTATTGAAAGTATTGCAAGTGTCCCTCATTTCCCCCCGTGACGCCCTCCACCCTGCTCCTACCCTAAAATTAAAGGTCTTTAAAAAATATTTTTAATAATAAATACTTGTTAGCCAACTGTTAATCTAATTAAAAAACTAAAAAATGATGCTAAGTAGAATATTAATGTTAACAGCTAAACATGCTAATGTTGGCTTTGTATGAGCTAAATAATTATAACTTGCACAAGAAACAGGCAAAAAGATTAATGATATGTAATTCCAGTTAGGTGACAAAAGTAATAAAACTGTTATGATTTTGCAGTAATGGCTGGAAATAGTTCTATTTTATCTGACCAATTTTCTATTTGTTGACATTTATCAGTTTCTAATATTTGTAATAATACTGCAAAATGAATTTGTACACACATCTTTGCATTATCACTATCATTTCCTTAGGAAAACACCCTTTAGTTATAACTATGTCAGAAGAATACACATTTTGTTTAAAAAATTTTTTTTTATTGATTTCAGATAGGAAGGGGAAGGGATAGAGAGAGAGAAACGTCAATGATGAGAGAGAATCATCCATGGGCTGCCTCCTGCACCCCCCTATTGGGGATTGAGCCCTGACTGGGAATTGAACTGTGACCCCCTGCTCCATAGGTAGATGCTCAACCCCTGAGCTACATCAGCCAGGCAGAGAATATATATTTAATAAATATTCTCAGATATGCAAAGATTCAAATACATATTCTTCTTTAAAAATCACTCAAAGAGCCCTAACCTGTTTTGCTCAGTGGTTAGAGTGTCAACCCACGGACTGAAGAGTCATGGGTTTGTTTATGGTCTCTCTCTCCCTCCTCCCTTCCACTCTCACTAAAAAAAAAAAAAAAAATCAGTGGAAAAAAATATCCTCTGGTAAGGATTAACAAACAAATAAAAAATCACTCAAAGAAATACTTTAGTATCCAAAAATAAAGATCTTAGGTCCAAGGGACATCTCTTATAACAAGAGATAGAGATGGAAATTGTAACCTGTAAAATTAAAAATTAATGTTGAAGTGATTGTTCTGAACACGGTTAACATGACTATATAAGGAAAGGCACATGTGAAAAAGTGTTCCTTAAGGAGAAGTAAGTAAAGAAATAATAATAGTTTTTAAAGCCCAAATTATTCTGATAAATGGTGGGAAGTAGGACAAAGGGAGGCACTAAAGTATGTGACTCATTATTTCCAAGGGAATCAATTGACACTAATGTATTCTTAACGTTGGTAAGGAAATAGAGGTTCACTTTCTTTTTAAAAAAGTAATTACTAATTAAATAAAAATAGGATTCATTTATAAATTACTAATTTAGAAATTACTAGGGGCAAAACAAGAAAAACTAGCAAAAGCGAGGGTGGGAAAAACAGAAATAAGGCAACATAAAAACAGTGCAAACTAAGATGACAAAATAAGAACAATTACACTATTTAGTATGATAAATGTAAACTTCCTCTTAAAGTCGAAGAACCTTAAATCATAGAAAACAAAATACTATATCCAACTGTATGCTATTTGGGATCCACCTAAAACAGCAAACAGTATTATGTTGCTGTAATGCATTAGACAGCATTAGACAGAGCAAGCAGCATTATACTGTTTTGACTCATAGTCTTGAGGGAAAACTTGCAGTTCCTCTTTCCCCTCCAATTTCTCTCGCTTTTGGTTGCCTTTGACTTGCTCTTGATTAGTTCCCCCACCCAAGATTGTTATTAGCCTGAGGGTCAGTCCAATTGCATGACAAACTACTGATCTCTTCCTAAGTGGACTGCAGGCTTAGGCCCAATCAATGAAGAGAACAAAATCTAGGGAGGATCAGAAGAGAACATCTCTTCGCTCCCTCGATGTCATGCGGATGGAGCTCAGGCAGTACTCTCCTGGCCTCTTTCCACCCCTCACTATCTCCTCGGTGGAAAGAAAGAGTCTTATCTGACTGGATTTGAGAGCAATAAACTTCGTCTTCCTTTTCCTCTCTGGAAGCTATCCTACCTGCAGAGCCCAGGCAGTCCCTGCAAGGGGAGGATGTTAGCTGGGTGGGTAAATCTGCAAACAGTGACATTTGCATATTTGTGTTTTTGTGACGGGGGCAATGATATACGCTTGCCACTGGGGATAGGTTGAGCAGAAAACCAAACCTTGCTGGTTTGATATATCAGATGATAGAGGTTGTGGTTTTGACCTTGGTCAGGGCACATACAAGAATCAACCAATGAATGCATAAATAAGTGGCACAACAAAGCAATTATCTCTTCTCTTCTCTTCTCTTCTCTCTCTTCTCTCTCTCTCTCTCTCTCTCAAGAAAAAAAAAAAAGTCTAGGATCAAACTGTCCCTCCTTTAAAATAAGCTTTATTTTCCCCTTTAAATATTTTAGAGAGCGACTGTCCCCTCAAATATTTTCAGCCATAATTTCTTCTTTTTATCTGAGTCTATTAGGTATTATTCTTTACATGTCTTAATGGCTCATTTTATATGTGTCTCTGTGCTATATTTTTGAATAGATTCCTCAATACAATCTTCCAATTTATGAATTCTCTTTTCAACTCTGCTCAGTCTAGAGTTGATCCCAGCTTTTGAGTTGTTGTTTTTTTTTTAATTCAGTGACTTTCTTTTAAAAAAAAATTCTAAGATATCTAACTGATTCTTCTTCATATTCTCCTAATTTCTTATCCTTTTAAATGGCCTTTATTCCTTAATTTTTCTCTTTGTACCCTAAATGTATAGAATTTTTAGACTTCCCATAAAATTATTTTCATTTGGAGTGAATGATTGTTTCAAATTTTGATTTTGTTGGCTAACTTTTGCAGGTTCATTATGAGTACAGATTAATGTTTTTCCTTGTTCTTCTCTGTGGTTATTCCTCCTTCTCTAGTGGTTATGGAGTCTTCCCTACTTCACCTTCGGGGGGTTCCACAGTGCCTTACACGGATACGTTAGGGGCCCTGGTGCAGCGATATCTGAACTACTGCTTCTGTAATCAGCGAGTTGAAGGAACGTGGCCTGGAGAACATCTCATTTCCACTGGCCTGCGGGGACTGAACACGCAGGTGCCAGGGCCCACTCTCCAGTGAGAGCTCAGCCCTCCCGCTGTAGCACCGCTCACCACTTTGTCTTTCTGTTCTGTTTCTGGTGCGTGTTTATCTTATTATCTAGCCAAGGCACAGATTTTGGGGTTTGTTTTTTGAACGACTATTATGAGTTTGGAGCAAACCTTACAATGTCATCTAAATAGAAATCTTCTTTATTTCTAAAAAGAGTACTGTTTGTTTTTTTTTACTTGAACGCAGTCATCACATAGAAGACTTTCATTTTTGTCCTTTACAATAGTTGAATTTTTAGTTATCTCCTGTCTTTAGAGTACAAATCTTTTTGTTTGTTTGTTGGTTTGTTTTTGTTAATCCTCACCCGAGGATATTTTTCCATTGGTTTTTAGGGAGAGTGGAAGAGAGAGGGAAAGACAGAGAGAAACATCCATGTGAGAGAAACACATTGATCGGTTGCCTCCTGCATGTGCCCTGACCAAGGCCCAGGCCTGGGAGGAGCCTGCAACCAAGGTACGTGCCCTTGACCAGAATCAAACCCGGGACCCTTTGATCCTCAGGCAATGCTCTATCCATTGAGCCAAACAGGCTAGGGCTAGAGTACAAATCGTAAAACAAATCAATATTCACTTTAGCAGCAGTTCTGTACTCACTTTACTTACAATATCCCATTACTGTGACAACACTGAAAAGCAAGCAAAACAGACTGATGGTAACATACTAAGTCAGGTTTGCTGTTTAATATTAATGCAGTATTCCTGATTACTCTGGCTCCCAAGCCATGAATTTTCTCATAAACACAATCAGCATTTCCTCAGAATCAGAGTTTGTTAATGATTCAACTTTGGGGTGGGGGTGGAGGGGAATTGTTGTATAACAATTATAATTGTTAAAAATGTTTACTTGATTGTCAGGACAGTTATATCTTTTTTATTTTGTCTTTTCATATTTTATTTATTATTGCTATGCAACACTAGCAAGCCTTTATTCAAAGATGAGAGTCACTCATTCATTCATTTATTGTTAAATACATATTAAGTAGCTACACTTTTATGTAGCAACTTTACTTATCTGAAAATTGACTAGAATTAGTAAGTTCATAAAAAGTCTGAGACATTAAAATAGTTATTACACAGACTATGTATTAAATCACATATATGTTACTTATAAGAAAGTTCCTATTCTCCTCTCCTGCCAACAATATCACACCTAATTAATAACAGAAATAGGGTTAGAATTCAGGCGTGCTGGCTATCATGAGTGAAATATTGAAGAAAAGCAGAGATTTTAATAGCATGAGGCAAGGAAATGTCATTCCAAATATTGGCTAAAGAAGAGAAGGTAGATTGATGATAGATTGTAGAGATCTCTAAACTCTAACAGATAATAAAGGTTTTGGAGCCAATAAAGGTTTTGTTTTATATGTTTTTATTTAATTCAAAGAGAGGAAGGGAGAGGGAA